TAATCAGCTGTAGATGTACATCCAATGATTACTTTCCGCAAGTTCCATTAAGATTTATGTAGTGGTCCATTAGATAATTCAACGCATTCTCACTCCCCCCGCGTCAACATATTGACGCTTGGTCAGGTAGCCTTTTGCGTCCAGTTTTGACGCGCCGGGTACGTGTGTCAGTTTTTTACGAGATGAGGCGGAGGAGGACGGGCGCGTTGTTCTATTTTTTACAAGAGTAGGAAATGCGCAAAACTAACCATCCCAGACCCTAAATTTTACTTTTATTAGCCCTATACAGCCTATCCTTGACCACAGTACCTAAAATTAACCATTAACCTTGATCCCTCATATTAACCGTTTTTTTTTATTTAGAGAATGTGCAAGAATTAACCATCCCAGACCCTAAATTTAACCTACATTAGCTATATACAGCCTATCCCTGGCCCCAGTTTCTCAAATTAACCATTAATCCTGATCCCTCATGTTAACCTCAGACCCCTGACCCAAAGACCCCTTAGTGACGCAACCCGGAAAAGCAGCGGGGGGCAAGGACGGACGCGCGGGGGGTACCCGACGCGTCAAAACTGGACTCAGACGGTCCCTGACCAAGCATCAATATGTTGACGAGTCCGACGTGAGAATGTGTTAGATAATTGGGTACAGACAGACACAGATGCAGGAAAAAACACAGCTGTCCATTTTTGCCTTTCAGCAGCAGGTGATGATAATTTTAAGAAAGAAAACATGCATTCCTTTTTTTTAATTATTTTAAGCTGCAGACTTTGACAGAGGTTGGGTTGTTGCCATAACAGTGGGTTGCGTGCAGACAGGATTTGGGCAGATGGCTAAAGATATATGCCAAGTCTTCTTCCAATCACAGACTGCACAGTATGTCACGATCAACACTTCTAAGTAAAGCTACAAGGTAAAAAAAAACAAACRATAAAAAAACATTTAAATGCAAACAAGATCATTTGCAAACATAAACTGTACAAATTTGAACTTGGTTTCTCCTTTTTCAAATGGTGAAGACCGTGAGCTCAGAGAAGGAAGTGTGACGATGCTGTTGTTGTAGGAGTTTCACACCCAGAGAAAGTGGAGCCAGATTTAAGTCTAGATTGACAGATAATTGGGTGTTTTTTCTTTGGTCTTTGGTGGGCAGACACACTGCTAATTAGGGCTTATCAGGTGTTTCTTTAAAAAAAAACACCTGAGGCTTTTGTGCACCTTTTAGTCCCACAATGAATGAGAGCGCTCTGGGATTTCAAGCGTGCAAGAGTCGACTGTAAACATACAAATGTGCAAAAATCTGTGCAGGAAAACTTGTACGCAACAGCGGTTTTGTTTTCTTCGTCAGCACATGTGGTTGTCAGAGTAGGAGTAACTGAAGCACAAATCTGGTGACATCTGTGCATGGGAATATGCACCACAATTCTATCTTTGCGTCTCTTCTCACATAATAATACATGTTAAGATTTAGGTGTTAAAAATATTTTCTTTTTAGACAGGATATCCTGTCTCACTTTTTTTCTCTCTTTTTGGCGTCTTCCTGTCGCTTGATTTCTACTCGTTTGTCCACACTTGGTTCTTTTATCGCCACCAATAAACTTCTTAGAGCTTAGCTGTGAATGTCAGACAGGATATTGAGCTATTTTTCTGTCGCCGTTTTACACCTTCACCTGTATAACAGAGCAAGAGGCACCAGTGGAACCTACTGCAGAGAGCCTGTCACAGACAAAAAAAAAAAACAACAACCTTTTTTCCAACTTATATCACTTTAAAACAAYTACACAACTGCAGTGTACCTCACAACCACTTTAGCTGCAACAAGACAAATGAAAAAGTAACAGCATGATCATTTCCCTTTTTTTTAAAGTTGTTGTAAACTACTACTTTCAAACTATCCATGCAATACAAATGTGCATGCAGTTTGTTTAAATGTAGCAACAATAAATGCTGAGTTGTRAGTTCCATCTGCACTTTTCTCTAGAAAAATCACAACCTGGTTTCTGTTCCTTTGTATTTGTTGAGAATAAGGAGCCATTGGTTTTCTTTGCAAAGCAAACTTTCTGACCAAGTGTTTTGTCTACAGTGGAAGTGTGACGGAGGTGTCTGGGTCAAATGCGGGGCAAATCTTTGACAAAGGGTTGAGTGTGTGAGTGTGTGTGTGTGTGTGTGGGGGGGGGGTTGCATTGCAGAAAGTTTGCATTGCAGCTGACCAATCGTCATGGAAGCACGTGAAAAGCACATGGCAGGTAGAAGGGCTGGGCTCCTATGAGACATTGTTGTAGGCAAACCAGCCAGTCCGGTTTCACATATGCAGCAAAATCCCTTGATGACAGAYGCTAAAAGACTCCCTGGTGACAAGAGGGTGACAGAGGGGAAGAAAGCTGTTCAGAGCTGAGGGGGTTAAAAAAAGAAGAAGAAGAAGCACAAGATGAAACGAGAAGTCTGTTTCTCATCGCAGACACAGGACTGTGGATATAAGGAGACTTTCCATGAGTAAAACCATTATTCTTCAATAATGTGAGTTAATGCAATTACCCCGGTGCAGCTCTCACATGTGCTTAAGCTCAAGCCTCCTATTTGTGTCTATTAATGGGTCTGAAAGGGGGCGAAAGACAGGCATCCTGAGACGGCAGCTCGATAAGGGAGTGCTCAACTGCAACTTTATTTCTGCTGTGATACAGCTCAGCAGCCAAATGGAAGCGTGCCGCCTCATTATTAAGACTGAAGGCCACTGCTATCCACTCTGAAGGAGGCTATTGTTCCTGCCGGAGGAAACAGTGCGCTGGTGTTTACTGGCAGCTGGATGCTCAACCTGCACGTGTGCAAGAAAAGTTAGTCAAAATCAGCTTTGTGGGCGAACAAATACACCGTATTTTCCTGCACATGTGGAAAAACTCTGGCGAGTTTGCGTTACGTGTGTGCTGTCGCAGATTCCTGCTTTTGTGTCCAGATGCCGTTCCACATGCCTGATTTCTGTCCGCCTTTGTTGCGTTCCATCTTTATCTTTTAGGTTAGGTTTTGACTCAAAGCCCAGCAGAGTAGCGAAAAGCCCAGTTTCCGTTCATTTATTTAGCTTGGGTTTGTTGGAGTCGTCCGGGCCGGTGAAGACAAGCAGGCAGTGGAAGCATCAGTCTTGAATTAGTTTAGGAGCTTGTCTGCAGAGGGATCGTGTTGCTTTTTTGTCAGGTATAAAGCACCAGCTTCARCTCTAATGAGATTACCAGAGCCTGCCTTAAACTTGTTTTGCTCAGTCCTAAAGTGTCAATCCTTTTTTATTTTTTAATCATGTCGAGCCTGTAAGTCCATCTCATTCTTTAGAGAACGATTATTGAAATAAAATAAAAATACCCACGCTGATGCAACGTCAGTTTGATTGAACTTTCATCATGACAGAACTAGCGTGACTGTTTTCTGTGTACAGCAGCAATGCAAAAGTGTGCAGTGATACTGTATGCTATGATCAAGTCTTAACAGGCTTYCTCCTACTGAAGCCCCCACTTCTTCCTCTCGGGTATCCGTTTGATTTTTTGCTGCAAGCTTTTTCTCACTTAGCTGGAAGTGGGTGGTAGGGCAGGTCGGGGCGAAACGGTCTTGCTGATCAACAAGCTATGCTGACGTTTCAAGAAGTAGCTCATTGGAGTGGAATGGTTGGCTCCACACAACAATGCAGTGTGTTGATAGCCGAGTGCTCGGACAGGGTTACTGGAATGTCCCCCTCTGGACCTTTTGTCTCGCAGAGTCTTCATTCTTTTACCTGGAGACGATGTTTGCTTTAGCAGGTTCACTATTAAAAAAAAAAAAAAAAAAAACAAGGTGGTGGTGGTGGGGAGTTAATTTTGCATTTTATCTTGATGTGCAATGCAAATCCTAAATTTTATTGGAGTATGTTTCTGATAATTTATGGCACGTTTGTGGGTTTTGCATCTGGGATGTTGCAAATGTGCACACACACAGTGAGTACAGCTTACACTAAGAAGTGTGAACGAGAAGCCTTTCATTTGTGCATTTTTGTTCAAATTTCTGTTTTGATTCAGAAGGCGTTTTTTTTTTGGTGATTTTTTTTTACATTTTTATTTAGTTTGATAATTTTGTGCAAAATGAGAAATACATGATTTGGTCTTATATTTAATTAATTACACTAGAAAGAAAACATTTGTAATAAAAGCCTAGGATTCCTTGAAAGAATGCATATCACCACTGTCTTTCATGTCAGAGTTTTAGACTAACAAGTTGTGCTCATAGGGCTGCACAATATATCGAAAATTCATTGTCATCGTGATAACCGCCTGTGCAATATGCATATCGTAACAACTGCATAAACTGCAATAAATGGTTGGCTCAAAAGTTTGCATTTTTGAGTTTTGTCACTCAGACAGAAGTTTAAAGTATTTCACCAAATAGAGCTATGTATTTGGCCAAATTATTTTTTTGTTTTTTTTTTGCTCTGAATCCAAAGCAGAAAGACATAAAGTACATAATTATGTATTTGGTATTTGTTCATTCATCGCAAATCATATCGTCATCGCAATWTTAAGCACCAATATTGCACATTGCAGTGTTTTTCTACTATCTTGCAGCCCTATAACATCATGTGCGATCTCATGTAACATCATGAGGTGTCATGCTTAGACTGTGTGTTGGGAATGACTCTCAGCTACTACCACATAATATTTTAGCACAATACTGTATCCATAAAACTGACTAAATCATGGCCATATTTTTGTATTTTCTAATATCAGCTGGCTGTGTTGACCAACTTGAATCAAGTTGGCTCCAAAGGTTAATCAGTTGTAGAACAATCAATTACAATTTCCTGAAGATTTCATTAAAATCCATCCAATGGTTTGAGATTTTCTGCAAACAGACACGAGCAAAGACGTTTGCTTTTGCCTTTTGACGGGAAGCAATAACAAAAAAAACTTGACTTTGATTTATTTTTAAGAACAGTGTTTTCTCTGTCAGTAACCCAGGCCTTCTCTCTGTTTTTGTTGTTTCTGCAGGTGACCCCACAAGCCGCTCCTGAGACGTGACTGTGGGACAGGCAGTTTCCCTCCCAGTCCGTTTGTTGCCCTAAAGGCAAAATTTAATGGCAATAGGCACTTTGGACAACTCTGCAGTGCAAATGAATCCTTGCTGTAAAACCACTGGGCTCTGCCACCCAGTCACCATGAAGAGCAAGTATTCCCAGTACTACAACAGGAATTTGATCACTCACCACTATGCAAACGCCAAAAACATGAGCGTTGTGAACATAACCGATTTGATCGAGAGCAAGGAACAATTCAGCACTCTCAACATTTTCTTCATCATTATCTGCACTGTCATCATCCTTGAGAATCTTCTAGTCCTGATTGCAGTCTGGCGCAACAAGAAGTTCCATTCAGCCATGTTTTTCTTCATCGGRAACTTGGCGTTCTCCGACTTGCTGGCAGGCTCCGCCTACATAGCTAATATATTCCTGTCAGGGCCAATGACTATAAAACTGGTGCCTGTGCAGTGGTTCATCAGAGAGGGSACAGTGTTCATCGCTCTGTCGGCRTCGGTCTTCAGCCTGTTGGCGATCGCTATCGAGCGCTACATTGCTATCACTAAGGTCAAGGTGTACGGCTCCACCAAGACGTGCCGCATGTTCCTCCTGATTGGMGCCTGCTGGGTCACCTCCATTCTGCTCGGAGGACTTCCCATCATCGGCTGGAACTGCATCTGCAACCTGCCCGACTGCTCGGCCGTCCTGCCGCTCTACTCCAAGAAGTACATCGTCTTTGTGGTCACCGTTTTCACCCTCATACTGTTCTCTATTGTCATCCTCTACGTGAGGATCTATTTGATCGTGAGCTCCAGCCACCAGGAGGCAACTAACTCACAAGCATACGCACTTTTGAAAACAGTCACGATAGTGCTGGGCGTCTTCATCGTCTGCTGGCTGCCTGCTTTCACGATCCTGCTCCTGGATTCGTCCTGCACCATGCAGCTGTGCCCTGTCCTCTCCAAGGCGCAGGTGTTTTTCAGCTTTGCCACTCTGAACTCGGCTCTTAACCCGGTGATCTACATGCTGCGCAGCAAGGAAATGAGACGGGAGTTCCTGCGCGTGCTGTGCTGCTGGGGCGTGCTGCAAAGCGGGCGGCCGTCCGAACGCTGTTGGGTCCCTCTGAAGAGCTCCAGCTCTCTGGAACACTGCACCATCAAACAYGAACACCAGATGATTCCCATCATGCAAACTTGTGTCTGATGTGCTTCAAACACATTACAGGGCTTTWGTTTTAGTTTTTTTTAAAGAGCCTTTACAATCAAGTAAAGAGGCCACAATGGGATGGGCCKATGTTAAACGAGTAACAAGCGCTTCCTGGGACTGAGAGCTGTGACAGGAATGTCTGTCGGGACACGTCATGTGATGCAGACGTTACAATCTTAACTGTGTGACCTTACAATCAGCATTCTTTGGATTCATTGTTCAGTTGTGAAATGCATGAAAAACAGGACGACGTTCCAATTTTGGTGTTTTAAGAAATGTGAAAAGAAAAGCTTTGGTTTTGGTACCTTTTTATCAAAGAATACAGAGCTCGCCATTTTATGTATATACCTACCATGTGTTTGTTTTCTATCTGAACATGTAAATCCTCATTCAAGGCCAAAAACTGAAGCATGATTTTTGTTTTAAATTCTGTTAAGTTTGGGACTTTCGTCAGCAGTGTCAATGCAAAGACTGCAAAGTTGCACTTTGTAGATTATTCAGTTATTCGTTAAAACGCATCACTTTTCTTTCCAGTGACCAACATGTACAACAACCACTTGTTCTTTACGGAACGATGAGCACTCTACGGTACAGAAACCAAATTAGTGAGTGGTCCCTTAGCATTACAAGGGCTATATATTCCCTATATTACCTTGCTTGACTCCAGTTAAAATAATCACAATGAAAGTACATAATATGCTTCATTTAATGCATGACATTCTAACGCATTTGTACGCGCTAATGTGTTTGATATTTATTCCAGCTCCAGCTTCTATTACTAACCACCCTCCATCCCATTTGTCTACATAACCCGTCTGTCTTTGCTTTTACTATTGTCTTTAATATTTAAATAGTTTCCTTTGAGGAAGGCCAAATTGGAAAGCACATTTCAGAAAGCGAGTTGGCACTCATGGATTTTACCCTGGGACAAGCTCTCCAGCGATTTTGACTAATAGAACCAATGCCCTGACAGTGTTGTAGCAACTTAGCAGCAAATGTGCCAACTTGTTTTATGTCTTCCTCTTAGAGAGAGAGAGAGAGAGAAAAAAAAGGCTGAATGTATGAATGAAGTGTTTTGGGGCACGTGCTCCATTATCGACAGTATTACTAATCATAATTTTGATTCATTACCAAGTCACTGATGAGCAGAGAGTGGGGGGTGAACAAGTCACTCTCACTGTGAACGGTTTATTGCACCAAGAACACAAATTAAATTGTGAGCATCTTAGTTTGTTTTGCTGGCCGTATGCTTTGTGCAACTCAAAGCGTAAACCCATCTCATCTTTCCGAAGGCCCCCCCCACACACACACACACACACACTCACCTCCTCTACAAAACAGAAGATCCGGTTTCACATGTGCACACGAGGGGGGTGCCCTCCTGGGAGAACAGCTTTTTTATTCTCTGACATCCTACAGCGTGGAACTTCCGTCAACTGTAGGAAGTCCTGTTTTGTTTTTTTTTTTTGTTTTTTTTTTGCCCGGTTCCTGTTATTCAGAGTTACACTAACCGTCTTCCTGTAGACACCTGGTTAAAACTCCTCTCTCCGTTAGTCGGCCCAATATTAACTTTAACATGTAGACAGCCAAGTAGAAATTGTGAAAAGCACTTTGGCAGCTTCAGATGTTTTCTTCCCCCAGTTGTTTTTTTTTTTTTACCCCTTTTTTGGGTGGAAAGGTGTTTTAAACTGTGTACCTGAACTGTTATGATAAATATATGAAAAACCTATGTATGTCTGTATTGTTGTACAGTATGTATGATGTTGTGTTGTATGAGTTGTATTGTGTGCAATAGCTTTGTGTGTCTTGTAGCACGCTGCCTGTGTTAAATTGGTACAATCTTAAACACTAATTGAGGTACATAAACATTTTTGTTAACTGCATTCCAGTTTTATAAAAATAAATGAAAATACCTAAATGAATGTTGTGTTTATGTTTTATTTTAAGGTGCGTAATAATAATAATATAAAAAGACATTATGCAGCTGTTATTTTCGGCATGTCCAGAGATGTCCTGTTGTTGTGCCGAGATCTGCTAAGCGTTCAAAAAGCCGTGTTAAATCTGAACATGCTCTAACAAGGGCAGAGAAACACTAGCTCCAACATGAAAGCCTGTGCGTGCAGCTTTGGTGTGGGCATTAATCATGGCTTTCTTACCYAATAAAATTATTCAGTTGCTTGAAGGCTACAGCAAGACAGGGCAACGATGGGAAACTGGGCAGAGCAACGGGAGGATGAAACGGGGGTGTGGTGCCTTAAGCTGTCTGTTAGTCAGWGGAAAGCATTACAAAAGGCCCCCTGGAGGCATTTATGGGTGACGGGGGGGAACTTGAGCTAGGGGGAGAGGCTGCCTTAYACTGACCTTGGGAGAGTTGGGTCTGTTTCCTGTCAGACATCCAGAATTCCTGGGTGGGAACACTGGCTGAAGAAGTCTCAGGAGGCTGCGCTGCTGGGAAATCTGCCAAGTCTTCTCTGCACTCTGCAGGATATTCCACTAGATTCAGAAACCTGCAAGTGGGGTTATATGCACAAAACATTTAACTCGTCACATAAAAAATATCCAGAATTCATCATATACAGAACAATATTTAGATAAAATGTTAGCAGATTCCATGAAGCCGTAATAAGTCACAGCCAATGACCTCAGCTAAATTAAGAATGTAAGCATAGCACATTTGTATATACATTCTGTATAAAAGTTTTAAATGACCCATCGTTTATTTATGGTTTGCTTTCAGTAGGCTTCTTCCTTAGAATCTTACTTAGAAGTCTTGATCATTAGTTATTCAGACCTTCTGAAGTATTTTTTTTTGCTGCTTTATTTTTAGAAGATTTAACAAGAAAACTACCTTCAGCAGATCAACTTCTACAGCGGGTAAAACAAGTATTGAACACGTCACCGTTTTTCTCAGTAACTATATTACTAGAGGTGCTAATGACATGAAATTTTCACCAGATGTCGGTAACAACCCAAGTGATCCATACATACAAAGTAATCAAACCATAAATGTCCAGAAATGAAGTTATTTGTAATAATGTGGAATGGCACAGGGAAAAWGTATTGAACACRTTTACTGAAATTTATCTAATACTTTGTACAAAAGCCTTTGTTGTCAATGACAGCTTCAAGACGCCTCCTGTATGGAGAAACTAGTGGCATGCATTGCTCAGGTGTGATTTTGGCCCATTCTTCCACAAACAGTCTTCAAATCTTGAAGGTTTCGTGGACCTCTTCTATGAACTCTGATCTTTAGTTCTTTCCATAGATTTTCTGTTGGATTCAGGTCAGGTGATTGGCTGGGCCATTCCAGCAGCTTTAGTTTCTTTCTCTGAAACCAACTGAGAGTTTCCTTGGCTTTGTGTTTGGGCTCATTGTCTTGCTGAAATGTCCAGCCACGTTTCATCTTCATCATCCTGGTAGATGGAAGCAGATTTTTATCAAGAATGTCTCTGTACATTTTCCCATTCATCCTTCCTTCAATTATTTGAAGTTTGCCAGTACCATATGCTGAAAAACAGCCCCACACCATGATGTTCCCACCTCCAAACTTCACTGTTTGTATGGTGTTTTTTGGGCTGATGTGCAGTGCCATTTGACCTCCAAACATGATGTGTATTCTGGCATCCAAACAGTTCAATGTTGGTCTCATCTGACCAGACTATATTCTCCCAGTATTACACAGGCTTGTTTAAATGTTGTGCAGCAAACTTTAAAGGAGCTTCAACATGCTGTTTCATCAGCAGTGGAGTCTTGTGTGGTGAGCGTGCATACAGGCCATGGTGGTTCAGTGCATTACTTATTGTTTTCTTTGAAACAAWCGTACCTGCTAATTCCAGGTCTTTCTGAAGCTCTCCACAAGTGGTCCTTGGCTCTTGGACAACTCTTCTGATAATTCTTTTCACTCCTCTGTCAGAAATCTTGTGAGGAGCACCTGGTCGTGGTCGGTTTATGATGAAATAATGTTCTTTCCACTTCTGAATTATGGCCCCAACAGTGCTCACTGGAACCTTCAGAAGTTTAGACATTCTTCTGTAACCGATGCCATCATTATGCTTTGCAACAATAAGGTTGTGAAGGTCTTGAGAGAGCTCTTTACTTTTACCCACCATCAGATGGTTCTTGTGTGATACCTGGCCATCATTTGGGACTGAACCAGCTGATATTAACTTGCACCGACAAGGGGCAGGCTTGCTTTCTAATTACTGAGAGAGTTCAGCTGGTGTCTTGGCTTTCCATGCCTTTTTACACCTCCCTTTCTTCATGTGTTCAATACTTTTTCCCTGTGCCATTCCACATTATTAATAACTTCATTTCTGGACATTTATGGTTTGATTTCTTTGTATGTACGGATCACTTGGGTTGTTACCGACATCTGCTGAAAATTTCATGTCATTAGCACCTCTAGTAATTTAGTTACTCAGAAAAATGTTGACGTGTTCAATACTTATTTTACCCGCTGTAAGTGTCATCTCTTTTAAAAACAGGTAAGGATATGTCACGAGACCTGAGACATGCGTCATCTGTCAGTTGATCATGCATGACAAGTTTTCAGCTAATAGCTCTTTGGAAATTCATCCTATCAGTGTAGGAATACTATTTTGTGTCTATTACTTTGTGTTATCAAATGTGTTTTTAATAAATTTGACTAAAGAATAGGGGRAAAAWKKTTKKKGMMAAMYKKTWRRAMMAARRRSCMAAAAAATACAAATTGMGACTGCTATTTTGTTAGAGTTCAAGAGTCATGTTATCCTTAAATGATCTGTAGACCAGAGTTAAATATGTAAGCAAACAAGTACTATTACATTGTAAATGATTAAGTACTAGACTGAAAATAAATGAAAAAAAAAATTGTCAGCTCTGAAAGAAGACAAGAAGTAGGGGTGGTTTAACATTTTTTGCACTGTGTGACAAAAAGAGGTTTCTGTCATCAAAAATAACTTGAAGACAGTTTTCACTTCAGCATTTAGTTTCTTATGATTGCTTACATACTATTCCCCACAATTAGCAAAACTTTATACTCAAGTAGCAAAACATCCCATTTATTTATGTGCTTACTAGACAGCTCGCTTATTGTATGAGGAATTGAAACATGCTAAAAATGGTTTAGGTTGAATCATAGTTATATGGATTTAACATATCAGTTAATAAACAAAAGTGTTCAATTTTGTAAAAGGTCAGGGGTGTTTTGGGGCTAACTGTTTTGAACAAAAAAGGGCAAGGTTTAAAAAATATAATGATATACTGTCATCTTGTGGTGAAATAAGCAAATAGCTGTCCGTGTTTGAAGGATGTATTTGGATGTAATTTAAAACAGTGTTTTGAAAATCCATGTACTGTTTAAACCATAGATATCATAAAGTTACTGTGGTTTAAACTATAACTTCTTAGACATAAAAAATAAGGCAGACAGCTAACAACCCCTAGCTTGAATCTAAATTTTATATTACAATAAACGCTTTATTTGTTACTTACCGGCTGTTTATTACATAAAAGGGATAAACTGTTCGTATTAAAATAATTTAATATTTTATACGGTTAAATTAAATGGACTGAAGCTAAATTGTACAGCAGTTTTGGTATATATCATAAACATTCATTTTACTTCCGGCTGGTCAGTGGACTGTACCAAGTGAGAAACAAAAGGGGGTGGATCCAGTTCCCTGTTAATCCTCGCAAACATATATATGTGGAACTAAAACAAACCTATAGCTTTAATTGTACTTAAAATAACATATATGATATAGAATTGTATTTTAACAGTGTTTACAAATTTAGAATGAAGTTTACGGTTTTTTCCACAGAGAGTGTTTAACCCGCGGATGTGTAAAGTGGTAGAATCCACAACACCCGGGTTTCCGCGCGAAAAGACGGCCTGCGCGCCCGAACTGCATGTAGCATCCCCTTCAAGAAGCAACACAGCTCTGCCAGGCACCGTGGAGCCGTGCTGTGGTGAATGACGGCGGCCTACAGTGGTCTTTTAGCAGTGTTTTAAAGCAGTTTCAACGTTTGTGTCTTACGCTTTTAATTAGCCGTGATAAGATGCCATCCAGAACGTCCCTCTCTCTGCCAGACGACGTCAGGAAAAGGTTAGTAAAGCTAATATCTGTCAAATGAGTCACAACAACACCGTTCAAAATGCATTCCCTGAACCGTATCATTCGACTTTCACTGACGGGAGTTAACACGATCACAAGTTCACCTTGTGTTTGAACTAGCAGCTACAGCTAGCGTTAGCTTGTTGCCACTTAATAATTAGGCTCTAAATCACAATAAACCTGCTAACATCGTTAGCTTGAGAATCGATGGAGCAGAGTGGGAGATTTGGCGCCACTCGGGAAGTTTCCTGCGTTTCTTTTTTCTGCTCGCTCTGACAGGAAAAGGCTCTGCTACGGTTTTAACAATCGATCAACGTGCTCCTCGGAGACCTGACGTGTCTACAAGCTGACATTATGTGTTGTGTTTGTAGGTTGGAAATGCTGGACGAGGATGGGTCTTCAGAGGAGGTGAGTAAAATATGCACATAACCAACTGAAAATCTGCTGCTATTCAGCTGTTTAAAATAAAGATGATAGGAATCGAAATGATCTTTCGATCACATTAGTTTTTCCCATATTCATATCCGCTTTTAAACATGCTAACAGAAAATAAAAACCAATGCAATGGAGGCTAAAACTAGTTAGGTTTTACAGTTATTTTTCTGATTTGAAATATTATAAAAGAAACTGAATGATCTGCTTACTATATCTTGAAGAAATGCACCTCACTTGTTGCCTTTTTTGCCACAGTGTTGAACTAAGATCTGATTGTGGTCTTTGAATAATGCCCTATGTTGCTCTCCGAGAGTTTCATTAAAATCCATCCAGTGGTGTATAAGATATTTTGCTAACAAACACATTCAAATACTAATACGTTAAAACGTTTTCTGGACTTAACTGGCGTTTTTAAGTAATCTTATTAATCTTAGTGTGCTGGTATCTGTCAACAAAACACTTAACAGTAAAAAGAAATCATATTTTCAAGCTTGTGTATTTAAAAATTTTGTAGTTTTGTCTTCTTTTTTTTTTTTAATCAGGGAAAACTACTAACAAGCCCATATTATTTTAGGACCAAGTGAAGGAGAAGCTCAAGTTGGTGCAGGGCTTCCTGCAAGATGATGCTCAGGACCAACTGACCAGCCTTGAAGAAAAAATGAAAAAGTCTGAGATCTCAAAGGTTGGTGAATCTTATCTATGTAATTGTTAAGCACATGACTCAACTTTTAACACGCGACCTGTGATGTCTCCTTTGTGCTTTTTCTTTAGGAGGCCTACATATCAAAAGTGAAAGCCTTGCTGGGTAAAGAGCTTCACCTGGAAAACGGCTCGTGTGCTGAYGGAGCGGAGCAGAACGGAAAGGCAAACGGCTTCGCTAACGGCTCGCATGAAGACAAAGGACGTGAAGATGGCGGCGTTGTCATGGACACGCAGGAAGAAGAAGAAGCAGTCAAGTCGCCACCTGCTTCCAAAGGGAAGGCTGGACGAAAGAGCAAAGGAAGCACGGACACAAAGAGTGAGTCTGAGCCTTGTTTTATATTCATATATTTACTTTGTATTCCTAAAGAATCAGWAGGTTACGGTGGCTTCCTTGGCTTTTTCCAGAGTCACCAGCCAGTTCCAGGATTACGAGAAACAACGGGAAACAGCCGACCATCTTATCAATGTTCTCTAAAGTGTGAGTATTAGTTTGATTGTCTGTATCGTATTAAGTGTCAAAGCAAATGATCTGAAACCTATTTCGCAGTCAAAAGCGCAAGTCTGACGAACTGAACGAAGAAACGATCAACGGAACAAATGAATTAAAGAAAGAAGACACRGAAGAGGTGAAGTTTTACCCGTCAGATTTGTGTAACTATTTAGGCGGGTTGTGTGGGGTTAATAACATTTGGCCATTTGTTGCAGTCTCGTGAGGAGAAGCGCCTCAAAGTGGATTCAGATGAAAAGTGAGTAATTCACCCTTTAAAATAATCGATTATCTTTGGTTGAATGGGCTTTATTTTACTTTTTTTTCCCTTTTTTTGTACAGACCTGCCCCTGAGGAGTTAAAGACTGAACCGATTAAGCCAGTGTCTACTGCAAAGGTAWTAAAGATTTTTATTCAGCGTGGCTTTAAAGGTTTACGCTGACAGAAGTGGGTGGGTGACGCTGACACAATCCCAATTTGTGTTTCCTCCCGCAGACACCACCCCCCAAGTGTCCCGACTGCAGACAGTACTTGGATGACTCTGATCTGAAGTTCTTTCAAGGAGATCCTGATAATGCTGTGAGACGTCCTCTAATATAGTGAAATAAAGTGTCGCGAAGTTACCGTTTCACCCGTGCTCATCGTATACGTGTATTTGTTTGCGCATTTAGCTCGAGGAGCCAGAGATGTTGACGGACGAGCGTCTGTCTCTGTTTGAYTCGAACGAAGATGGRTTTGAAAGCTACGACAATCTGCCTCAGCACAGGATCACAAACTTCAGGTGTGTTTATGTGTCTGGATGTTGTGTAATATGTAAAGAAGTTTAAAATGGGCAGGAGTTCATCAATCTGCCAAAACAACTGCATCTAACTCAACAGTACATTGGGAGGACTGAATATGCTACACACTCGTACTGCGTTCTGTTGCGAATAAAATATGGGTTTATGAAAATTTCCAATCCGTGCATTCTGAGTTGTTTTCARCGTTTTTCTCGTGTCTTGCAGTGTTTATGACAAGCGTGGCCATCTTTGTCCTTTCGACAATGGGCTGATCGAGAAGAACGTGGAGCTGTACTTCAGCTGTGTTGTTAAACCCATTTATGATGATAATCCGTGCTTGGAGGGTACGACAGCTTTCATGTCAAAAGAAACAAAATGTTTATATCGCCCTTTTTTTGTTTGTTTTTCCTCTACTAAAAAACTTGTTTTTATCTTCTTAGGTGGTGTTTTTGCCAAAAAGCTTGGCCCAATCAATGCCTGGTGGATCACAGGTTTTGATGGAGGAGAGAAGGCTTTAATTGGTTTCACAACATGTAAGCAGTGCTATTTATTTGAACTACTCAAATATATCATTTTAAATATGCGGCATCTTATTTTAAATTTTTAATTCCAGCTTTTGCCGACTACATCTTGATGCAGCCCAGTGAGGAGTACGCTCCCATCTTTGCGCTCATGCAGGAGAAAATCTACATGAGCAAGATTGTGGTGGAGTTCCTCCAGAAAAACCCCGACGCCTCTTATGAGGACCTCCTCAACAAAATCGAGGTGAGTTCATTTGATCAGTTTTTTTTTTTTTTTTGTAATTGTTTAAACATTAGCGTTATTGTTCTAGATCAGAGATTCTTAACCCATGGGCCGTGGCCCAATTGTGGGCCGCGAGCACCACCGTGAAGGCCTCAAAAGAACAACGGTTTTTAACTTTGGGCCGCAGAGGGCCGTGTGACCGCATTGATTTTGAGTAAGGTGCAATACACTTTCTCACCACTAGTAGTGGCAGTGAGCCACTCAGTTGTTTAACAACTTTTTTAATATGTAGAAGAAGAACCGTAGAAACCTGCCGAGAATGGAAACATATTTTAAATGAAAAGTAGAAGCGAAAAAGAAAGTAACTCGTCAAAAAAACACCAAAGTTTGTCACTAAAATGAAGTGAAGCTTCTGTTTTTACAATGCAATATT